AAAGAAAAGCCGTTACTTATTATGTACTTTGGGACAAAGTGTCTTAAGATAATTTCATGTGATTACTTCAATTAGTTTGATATAATTTAGATATATAAGGTGATCGACCTAACGTTATGTCGACTTAACCGCCTGAAATTTGTTTTGCTTCTAATGTAACTCCAGAGTTTTATATAATTCCTACAAGAAAGTTATATTTCATACGCATCTCTTTCCAAATCCTAAAAGCACTAAGAACTTTAAAGTAAAAAAGAATATTGTTGGTAAAAATGATGGAAAAAATATCCTTATGTTACATTTCTTGTACGAAATTGTAGAGAAGTAAAGATAGAGATCCACTCATGCACTAATTTAAGTATCCTACTTACAGTACTCTTATTAATTATTTAAATTGAATGTGGTTATATTCTCTCAGCAAACTTAATAAAATTTTCAACACGTCTGATTTTCCTTGATGTTTCATTCTTGATTTTCATTAAGCGTGCTTCTATATTACAGTCGACATATAGACTTAATTATATATAATTCAAGACACTGCTAAGATCTAAAGCTAACAGAGTTTCAAATAGACATTTCTTCGTCAAAGAGATACAGTGCATAACTCGCGAGCAATCAAAGAGATTTCATCTTAATAAAGACAACAATGAAAAGTACAATAGATGAAAAGAGAGAAACTTCGAGCTGTCCGAAATGACAAAGTTTAACATGACAACCAGAAATATACTACAAAGCAGAGTGCCACACCTTGTTGACAAATAAATTTCTAGAAGTGGGAAGCGTTAAGCATTTCGGCAGGAGGATGAAAGAGCGAGTACAAAGTGTTGAGGACCGCGAATAATGGACGATGACGAAGACATCGACTGTGATGTCGTCGATGAATAAATGCAAAGCAACGAAAAGGAATAATAAAATCCAAACTGTGGAAATAACATAAATGTGGCTACAAATAACGAATGACGAACAAACTACGATGACAGATCTAATAAATAAATCAGAGAAATGGAAATCGTTCTGATAAATATAGATTAAAAACACGGATAATTATCTCTTTTCGGATGATACAGAAAAGTATAAATGCAATTCGCATTTGGATTCTTTGACTTGGATTCTGAACTCAAATTTCATTTTTTAAATGAAAGTTTGACGAGGCATCCTTCTTCACATTCTTAATATTAAGTATTATGGTATTTAATTTTCATGTGTTAGATTAAATCTAATATCTCGGTATTAAATTTAAAAGGTAATATTTTTTTATTCTAAAAAACTCCGAATTCTCTCATTTTTGTTCATTCCGTATTTTCATTAAAAAAAAAAAAAATCAAAGACACGAGATACGCCAAAGTCTGCGATGGAAAGTCCGGTCGTGGAAGCGTTAGTTCGTATAATGGATGTCTACAACGACGGGAAGGAGAATGAGGAGGGGAGGGGAAGCAACGAAGAGCACGACTACCACGAGAGAGGAGGCGACATCAGGGGGCGATAAGGAGCCCGACAGAACGGATGAAGGAACTCTCCGTCGAGCGCGCGGCCGGAGGGAAGGAAGAGAGGCGGCAGTTAAGTTATGAATTATGACGTGGTACGAGCGAGAAAGACGAATCGAGTCGGTCGCGTAGGTCGTTACGAGGCCTGAGAAGGGAAGCCGCGAGGAGCCTGATGGGGAAGGAGAAAGCAAAAAGCGTCCGCAACGATACGCGGCACTGCCTTTGGGGAAAGAAGGTAGCCCTTGCTAAACGAGCGCACCCCCGACAGTGACTGCGACGATGACGACGATGACGACGAGTGACGGGAAACGCGCCAACCGCGACGAATGGCTTTCGAGCCGGTATATCCTGAGCGAGGCCCCGCGGAATATCCATGCCAAAAATCGCTGAATCGTATACACGGATACGTACTGGTGCCGATGGGGAGCCGAAGCGATCTAAGATCGTTTGCCATCGCGATGAACTCGCTAGCTCTCTTTGATCTTTTTCCTAAACTTAGCATATATGTCTGGAACCAGTTGTCTTTAATAATCGAATATCCGAATACTAAACTATATATTTCTCGAATTTAAAATATGATGTAAAAATGATTATAAAAATTAGTCGCTTACATTATTAAAATTTATTAAATTATTAAATTACATTATTAAAATAATTAATTAATTAATTAACCATTATTTCCGCTATTGTCGTCATTAGTTTATCTTTCTCTATCTATACTCTATTAATATTATTAATATTATCGTTTTATCTGTTTGCCCGCAACTATTTCAGACTCATGTATCTTTTGAGATGATCAACCATTATTCCGTATAGTCTTTTTAATATATCGCCGATCTCGATCTTGTCGACAACACTGTAGCCTCCTCTTTCACCGAATCTCGGGTGGCTTGTCTTGTCTCACATTCTAAACAAGTCGTATCTACCTATCCATCTACCTCGCAGCATCCGCTGTCCGCTGCGCACTCAGCTGCATTTCTACATCACTAACGTGCATTCCACGGTGCATCTCTGTCCTTCTTCGTCTCCTTGCTTTTATTCGATCGCGACGCGTTCGCGATGATCATTCGCTGCTTCTTTGCTCCTGATCCCGCTGCTTTTACATTCTATCCTGTCTATTTTCGATCTCGCTGTGAAAAGCTACAGTAACGGTCGCCATATTCGCATACGCATATTCTAATCAACGTTGCCCTTAGATAAATTTAGAGATTACTTTTTAATTTATCACGTTTTCTTATACCTATCTACAATTTCTGTAATGCTGATTGTTATTTAATAAAAAATTTAAATGCCGATTAAAATAAAAAATATAGAGAAAGTTAATATTAAAACACTTTGTATAGAGTGAAAACCTTCTGATGTTCATGACAGGCTTTGCATAAAGCTTCACTGGTCGTGACTTCCGTTCAGCACGAAAGAACATCCAACATACCATTCCGTAAAGGCCTCGACTATCGAAATAACGATCGGTCGACGATATTCGACGCGTCTCTTCAGGAAGATGCGGGAAAAAGGAGGAGAAAAAACGGCGACAAGCGGACGGAAGAAACTCGGAGGCGACGAGGAAACCGCAAAGAACGATAATGACGAGTCGAGAGGACGCAGAAAGCGAGAGGCACAAAAGAGAGGATGCCGTGGAAGAGAAACTGGCCCGAGGTAATTGCCGGGGTGTCTCTTCGCACCTCATCATCATCATCAACAGCCGCGTCGCTCTCGTCGTCGTCATCGTCGTCGTCGTCGTCGTCGTAACCGTCGGTCCCCGAGACCACCCGTTAGAGTCGATTCCGTCGGTTTTCGTTTGCGTTGGATGGCAGACAAAACGCATCACATCTTCGTCAAAAGCTGTGTCGAAATGACGACAAGCCTAAGTGAAACGTTTCGCAATCGATAAAGCAAAAGATAATAATCTCGAAAGACGAGATTTAACAAGATCAAATTACGAGATCGTGCTAGAAACTTGAATTAGGCGGATCGTTAACTTTTTCTGATTATGTGATTACAATTGAAGTCGCTATTGTTACATTTTATATGTATTATAAAATTATCTATTTTAAAATCATTTAAATCGTGATTTTTAAACATCCTCGCTTAGCATCCCTTTAATGATTAAAATATCGAAAGATTTGCAATATTACAAACAAGCTGAAAAAGACGCGAATGTCATCTCCTCGAAAAAAAAATTTATTAAAATAAAGTAAAAAGTTTGTATATACGCGTAAAATAAGAGCGCGATCAATTTTTCCGTTTTAATATTCTGTAATAAAAAAAAAAAAAAAAAACAAATAATTTATAATATATTCATAATTCTTGAAAGAGATCGGGAAAAAAACCCGTCATCCCTCAAGGGGAACGGCCCGCACTCGCCATGTTGCCCTTCGCGGTAAAAAGAAGAGAGATCGATTAAACGGGACCAGGATAAACATCGAAAACGGAGCCAGATAGTTGTCCGTTGTCGCCTCCGAGGATCATAGATCTAACCTACGTCAAGGTCCGAAATTCCAGCCGCTGCTGCTATGAAGGGAGAGGACGGAATTGAGTCCCCCTCGACGGCGGTGGCGGTGGAACGAGACGCGACGCGCCGCGACGCCCGTGGAATGCGAACGACGCTGACCTGGACCACACATGATGCCGCGGCGGTCGGTTCTTAAACGACTATCGTGAAATACGATAATGCCCGTCTTTCTCGCGCGCCGAACACAGAATCTGAACTTGGACACGGAAGACGGTTCGTCGAGAAAGAGAGAAAGAGAGGCCAGGATCGCGACTCCCGCGTTCCTCTCACGATCACCTCGACAGTTGCACGTGTTGCGCCTTTTGATAGTCGCACGCTGCGCTCTAACATAGTGGCGAGCCTATTTAGGGATTCTCGCATTCTCTCGATGTACTGTATATACCCGTCGACTTATCTCGTCTATGTCATCTATTAAATGCATCCCAAGGAATATTATCGATTTTAATGTGAATTCTTAGCATATCATATTATTTTTTTATCGTTAACTATTATATCAGAAACTAAAACATTTTGAAAATTGATTCGGGGAAGAGAATACTCTCTTTTAAAAAGATGTATATTTATAAATTATCAAAAATCATTATCAATGAATTCACTCAAAATAATAATATTAATAAATACGCAATATATATGCAATTTTAAAGATGGATAAAACTATAAAATATATGTCATACAGTTGCTTTGCAAGAAAGAATGATTATCTTGATACAGCGTTCGCAGTACTTGTTAACGTGAACCTCGCGTATCCGCGAGATGTTACGCCAGTGTCTTCGCGCGCGGTCGCTCGCTCTCGACAGAAACGATTATCGGGGATGAAAGGGAGCCGCGGTGAACGAAATGGAGGAACCAGTCCCGTGTAGCCGAGATGCGGAGGACCGGAGGCGACCGGACGGACGTACGAGACTCGGCCGTGCGAAGGAAAGACGAAGAGAGAAAAAGAGAATGAGCGAGAGCGCAAAAAGGAAAGGCGGGAGTGTAACGGTAGCGAGAAACAAAGTGAAACTTACGAGCTGATTCTGATAGGCGGTGACAGCGGTGAATATGGCCTCCGGGAATATGAAGGTCTTGTGCGGCTCCTTTTCGAGGTCCACGATCGGCTTCGCCGTGCTCGAGTCCGGCCGCTTCACCAGGTGGATCCTCGGCTGGTACTTGTGCATCGAATTCAGCACCAGCTGTAAATAATCCGAAATTTTACCGCCGACCGTAGAGATACGATTAATGGCGGAATACGTTCGTAAATAAACGCGCTCGATTTTCGACAAACACAGACGCTTCCCCCTCCCGTGTTTATCCTCGAGGTTACCGTACTTGTCGAAGTATTGTAAACAAGAGAGCGCACATTTTTTACAATAGTTATTTATATGATTACAAACACTTTTACACCTAGTCTTTCGCGTATCAAGTGTGTGTTATTATAAGTAGTCCGTCACAATTTTGATAATATCTAATTTTTAAAATATATATACTATTTTGTCTATGTACACTTTTTTATTATTATTTGAAATTACTAGCCTTTTTCGATCGCGGACGAAATTCAGACACAATCATCACTTCTCAATTTATGTTATTAATTCAAAGACAGGAGTGAGAAAGTTGTTCGCAATCGGAAGATCTCTCGCAATAATTACAAGTGTCCGATTTCGTCCAATTAAAATCGAAACGAGCAGCGTTTGAAAGAGAGCTGCAAGACGAACTAACAGCGAACGATCCAAATGGATGACGATGATATCGATATTATCGCGCACGCGGATTTTTCATTTCTTTTTGTGCTATGCATTTCCATCCATCCCTTATTTCCAAGGATCCCATTATGGTACCAGAATCGCTGACGGCTTATCGTTTCCCGAGGACGAAGACGCGCGGAGATTACATCGAGTTTCACGTCGCGTCGACTTTCGTCGTTCGGGGATTTGAATCGGCGACGAAGCCGAGAGCATGCGATAGCATTAACAACACAACAACACGGGCGGGGATCGGTCGCGGCAAGAAAAAGCGTATGAATTAGAGGAGCACTTCGGGCAGGGCGAGCTCCCCGTTACCATTCAAAAGAATCACTTTGCCCGCGTCTGGCAGCGTGTAATACCCTGAATACAAAATGAGTACCGTGAAGAAGCGCTGCCCCGATCGGAGTTCCTATTTACGTCAGTCATCCGATGAATTAAGGGCCCCGATGTGCGCCGGCGAGAAAGAGGAGCTCGGCTTGACAATGAGACGGTGGGAGCGGGAGGGGAGTGACAGAAGATTGGGCGAGGAGGGGGCGAAGACGCGGCTGAGATTCTCGTGTCTTATGACAAACGAGACAACGGACTGTCAAATTATCCCGTGGAGCGACTAAATCGCGCCACGATGAAATTCGTTTTATCGGCGTCATTTTTCTCCCTTTCATAACCGAGACCTGCGGTAGGTCGCAATCAATCAAATATGCGACGACGATGACGTTCTTGATGACTTTTTGATTTCGAGAGCAATGTAAGAAATTGACTCAATTAATCCTTTGTAAGCACAATAATATCCCCTCTAAATATTACTTTCACATATTGAAAGATCACTTTAAAATTACTTTAGAAATCTCATCGCACACATCTAACGCTTTATTTTCTTATTTATAATTTCACATGTTTTTTTTTTTAAATTCTCATAAGCACTCCGTCAACGTCATCACCGTTAAACTCCGCGAGTTGCGAGCCTAGCTAAATCAACCGTGTCGCGTGATTACGGAAAAGGAAAATTACGCAGAGAGAAAAATATACTTCGAAATGACGTAAGAGGGTAAGATAAGTACGACGTAAAAGCTTTCCACGAGACAAAATGCCATCGTGTTGCGTTCCACTTTGCTGAACTTTGTTGAACCTAACAATCGATGTCGGTCGATTTATTAATGCAACAACCGGCGGACGCGGTAGGCGTGCACTCGCTGTCTTCGACGCCGACAATGTCGTACTTTTAGCCGCAGCTGTGTCGAGTAACATATAAAAGTTTAATGCGAATTGTCTCGAAACGGCCACGTCTGCAATCGCGAGAAAGTATGAAAAATTCGGTATAAAAATGTAAAAAATTCGCGGTCCGTAACAAAATGTCGACGACTCGACAGAGATAGAGAGACTGCTCACATGTACACGATAACTAAAATTAATCTAACGAGATACGCCAAAAAAAGCATTACTTTTTCCAAGATATTTTTTCTGAAAAATTATAAAATGCAAAAATTTGATAAACTTTAATGATATTGAATTTTAATTTTAAAAAATGACTATTATATTCTCTCCACCGTGTGATTTAAAAATATAATTCTAATAATATAAAAAAAGTTTCTTACATTTG